CATATATTATATACCGTGATGTGTATAATATTTAATTACATATATTAAATATGATTGTTTGTTTTGTTCTGCTTCAAAAAAGTTAATTAAAAGTCCTGAATATTTTAAATTTTCCATGTAAATATGAACGATATATTTTTCTTTTTTACCACATGTATTTGAAAGTCCAATTACTTTTCAACTTTTTTCTAATAATGATTATAAATTGGTTAATAATGTTAAATAGATGCAAAACCTAAATTGTAATCCTAAAATTAACTAAACTTGAATATTAAATTAACATATTTTACTTCTACTTAGTTTTGATAAGTTATTTCTTAAATTTTCAATTTAAAGTATCAACTTTTGAATAATTTGTATAAAATATTTAAATTATTAATTTAAATATACTGTTAAATTATTAACTTAAATGGAAATTTCAATTAAACTTAAAGAAAATCCAACGACTATTTTATAAATATTTATAAATTATAAATTATAAATTATAGTGTTAAACGTAAAACCTATGTTGTAATCCCAAATCAATTAAAATATTTCCTAAAACTATTGTTGTAAGCGTTAAAATTTTCTAAAGAAGTAGCTTACAAATAACTTACAACGATAATAGTTAAAAGTAATATTGTTACCTTTAAAAACAAAAAATAATGTTTGATGCTGTAAATATACAATATTTAAAGGGTTTAGGTCATTTTTGGTCACTTAACTTTTGGTTTTGTGCTCATTTGGTCACTTAATTCTTTTTAAGTTTTAAATGGTCATCAAACTTTTGATTTTGTGCTCATTTAATCACTTAACTTTTGATTTGGTCACTTAACTTTTAGATTTGTGTTCATTTAGTCACCTAGTTTTTATAATTGTGCTCATTTAGTCACTAAACTTTTGAAAAAATTTAAAAGTTTAGTGACTAAATGAGCACATTTTTAAAAGTTAGGTGACTAAATCTAACCAAACAAAAAGTTAAGTGACTAAATGAGCAGAAAACCAAAAGTTTAATGACCTTTTAAAACTTAAAAAGAGTTAAGTGACCAAATGAGCATAAAACCAAAAGTTAAGTGACCAAAAATGACCTAAATCCATATTAAAAATAAAAAAGTTAATCAAATATAGTTTTTAAGATTTATTTTTTAAACTAATTAATTAAATCAACAACTATAAATAACATTAAATCATATACTCTTTCTAATTTTATTTATGAATAACATGCTGGTAAAGGCTGTAACACGTGTCATTGAGACGATAGATACTATGTAGTTTTAATAGATTTATATATGATCATAAAATTCAAAATAATCAATATTTTATACCAAATTAATATATAAGAGTTATTATATCAAAGTTAACTATGATATTTTTATAGTTTAACAACATATATTTTAAATTTATAATTGTATTCCACGCAACGCGCAGATATTCGTCTAGTATGATATATATTTTCGTAAATATCATATGTAATTCTTGTCGTAGTAATATGGATAAATTACTTTCATATGAAGAACATGTCATGATAAGTTATCATAATTACATATCAAATGTTAAAAATTATGTTATATTTTAAATATTGTCTTGTAAATATGTTATATAAGATAACCCGACAAATAAATAATAGAAAATAAACATAATCAAAATAGAAAAGCTACAATCAAATAAATAAAAACATTGGGCGGTTGAATATATAAATGAAAATGTTACATAAATATACGTTTAAATCAAAAGAAAAAATTAACATTCGTCTATATTGCTCAAACAAAAAAATCTATATCCGTTTTCTGAATCTTCTTTCTTTATTGAACACCTTTCAACCATAGAAACTTGATGATAATTCTTCACTAACCTGTAATCAAAATGTTTTTCTTGGAAAAGAAGAATGAGAAAGATATTCTAAGCAAAACATTGATGTTTGGAGGGTCACATTCAAGATTGAGTAATACATACAAATCACATATAAAGGTCAAATGAGAAGTGGAATATAAAGAAAGAATAGAAAAGCTTCATTTGTTTTGGTTGAAAGAAAAAAATCATATTACAATTACCATCGATGCGACATAACCCATTTATTCAAATCATCATATTTGGATCGTGAATGCTTTAACTATATGAAGACTTTTGAATCATAATATCTTCAACCAAATGACGACTTTTTGTAAGAAAAATATACTAATATAACTACATATATAATGAAGGTTAAAGGGTGTGGAAGTTTCAAATGCATGAGGTGTTGAACTTATAAAGTGTGTGATTTTCTTGGAATGAGATTATATGTGATTAATTACTTTGAAGGTGAAAGAGCGTGGGGGTTTCAAATGCATGAGGTGTTGAAATTTTTTTATGGGAGTTTCAAATGCATGAGATTCAAGAAAAAATGTTAACTTTATAAGTATGTATGATTGCACACACAAATTTATTTATTCATGTTCACCGATTTCTAAAATGATTAGGTTCACGTTCGCTATTACTAATCCTTTAGCAAACAAGTCAATTCAAGCAGTGATCAATTGATTAAACTAACATGTTTCCTAGTGTTTAGTTCGTATCAAGCAAGACTTGTAATAATAGTTAATCAAATTACTAATTCAATTAACCTCTTGTTGATAGTTCGTCACACAAGTCTCACACATTAACTTACTTATTTTCTAGTTTTGTTTCACATTCGTTGTTCCTAGGCATATAATATTGATGGTCATCAAAATCATAAGAGGCAAGCAATCAAGCAGACGTTCATACAACTCAATATACTTAATAATTAACAGAAAATAATTGTCATTAACACATAAGGATCTTTTAACAAGCTTGGCAAGATAAATTAAACATAAATAAACAATCAAATATAACAATTAATCCGCAAATCAAGGTTTTATCTAATCATAAACTCAAAGAAAATGGTTTTGACACCAAAATCAGAAAGTAAAAACATAGTAGTATCTCAGTGGAATGTTAAACATGGTCACGATAACAAACCACATGATTACCGATATGAATTCGCTCTCTAATCCTTCATATCTTCGCTCCTGTCAACTTAATGGCCTTCTGGCCGCCTTCTAGACCCTCAAAACGGCCAAATATATGTTACTTGACGACTAAGGATTGATGGTAGTCGAAATCTCCCTCTGGTTAGCAGATATTCGCTTTTTATAACCTTTGGAACCGACTCTCGTACATTAGGCATAAGTCGGTGTACGATGGGCGTAGTGAGAAAACTATCTCGATCCATTCTTCGGAACCAAGCCCAGTATGCTGGGCGTACGTAAATCTACGTGGGGGTAGTCCTTGTCTCATCGGTATGCTAAGCGTAACTTATATTACGTTGGGCGTAATGGCAGCCTTCAACAATCATTCTTTCTTTTTGCTTCTAAGCCCGAATTCCGCTCCAATCTTTTCTTTTCCGCTCTATCAACGACTAATAGCTGTAAATCACAATTCAAAGCATTATAAGTACCTTTTTGTTCTAAATAAGAATAATAAGGGCTAAAATATTAAAGATATAATGTATTAAAATACACATATCAATCATCTCCTCATGATCCGATTTTTGAACCATGTATGTCGAAATTATGAACCCTTGTGTAATCATCTCCAACAAATCCATTATGGAACCATAAACATCGACATTCAGGGTAACATGGTCACTCTTTACCCACCCCAAAACCATGTGCCCTCAAGTTGCATCCTTAAGTAGCTAACCATGTCTTCCTTGAACCCATTGCAAGCACTCCTCGTGTAAATACACAATCACACTAGCTACTCTGAGGGCGATTCAGTATCTAATCCCCAAATCGAGTATGGTCTTCGATCTAACAACTTCCTATCTTTAAGAACTTCCTCTCTGTTTGTGTATTTTGTTTTAGCAATCTGTTTGAGACATACTTGTAAAGCGATTTGTTTGGGACATACTTGTAAAGCGATATTCTCTAACCTTTCTCAATACAAAATCCTTGTAATCTTTGATTCTTATGATTTTTGAAATTTTGTATAATCATATCCAGATGAATCCACATAAAGAAAAAAAGTAGATTCGGTCCTAATTCGTCCACATCACTACTTACTTGGTTGAATATATACATATGGCACCTTCCACCGATTGATTTAGGTTGTAGAGACTAAAACGATAGGTCACAACCTACTTTATATCCCCATAAAGCCAAAATAAAGTTTATGGACTATTTAGACAATTACTTAGAACAACGATGGGTTATGTCATTTCCTCATGTGTGTGCACACAAACGGAAATTCATTTAATTTATATTTGATTAATACTTTTAACTAATATTTATCTTATGAAATAAACTAATAGAACACAATAATGCAAAAGTTTGAGATTCTATAAAACGTAATATAAAAATCAATAAAAAGTTAAATACGTAAATTTGAGATATTTTGACGGATTTTTTTTTTTCTCAAACGACTGAATAGTTGACGTACTACAAGTGATATTTTTTTTTTTTTCATTTAAAAGCATATCAAGTTGCACTTTATATATTTTTTTGTTGCTCTATCAAGGTTAATGGATCAATATTTCGTAATGTCTATAATATTTAAATACTTAATAAATTAAATTAAATTAAATATTTATTATTATTATTATTATTATTATTATTATTATTATTATTAAGTTTAAATTTATTTTTATCCAAAATATGAAATAATTATTTGTATGTTAATTTATTATTGATTAATTATTAATTATGAACATTTAAGTTATATATGTTATATGATATAAAGTAATTGTCATGGGACCGCAAGTGAGAGAGTTGATATCATAGTGATGTAAAGAAAATTGTAAAAGGTAATGTTGAACGTTCGAAAAACTTTTGGTATAGTATTGGTGTAGATAGTTAACTTGTAAGCATTAAACTTTCTAATTTAATAAGCTTTGCAACCTGACATATTTTTAGAGCAAATTAAAAACTGTACTAATCTTATTTATAATTTTCAAATATTTAAAGCAAAATAGCCACCCTGCAAAATTGGCTTAATATGTGCGAAAATCTTTAGCCACCTGCCAAAACAGACAAATCTATTTAAGGGAAAGGGAAAGGGAAACGAAAAGGGCGATTTATATATATATATCTCCAATGCAAGCATTGACGATACGAATTCTTGTTTTACATTAAGACAAATCAGAATCTATATATTTGCACCCAACAATTTGGAGCATGTTTACTTAATTAAATTCGAGCTAAATTCCCACAATCTTTTTGCCAAATCCATATCTTTACCCATCTCTGTTGTTTTCGCCAAATTGCTATCTGAAAAATACTCACCACTCACCCCTTTCACGTCCGGATGTAATGCTACATAACACGTTGTTGCTGCCCCCTAAAAATCAAAACAAACAACAAAAAACAATTTTATTTTATTCTACATATGACCAAACTCTAAATATTTTAAATTAATTAACCTGCTCAACGTTTTTCATCACACAGCTGCTGAGCTTGCTAACAAAACCTGTATTTAAATACAACAACAAGATTTTAATGCATTTTATTTTTTTTACCATAATAATAATAGTAACATTTATTTAGGTAAAGTATGTTGCTATTTTTGGTAAAGATTGTTGAAACATACATACATACCTTCAGCAAAGCTGGGAGGAGTGAAAATATGGCGGAATAAATTTGTTGAGATTACTCCCGGATGCAGAGAATTTGCGGTTATTTCTGCTCCCTCTTCCTGTTCATGTTCAACCAACAACAATCAAATGGTATTTCAAGTATATGACATGTTTTTTTTTTTTTATTAATTTACTCTAAAGTTTAATAACATTTAAATGATCTATGATGAAAATGGAATTTATACCTTTAGTTGTCTTGTAAGCTCATTAGCATGGAGAATGTTGGCTAGCTTTGATTGACCATATGCTTGATATTTACTGTACCTGTATGTATAACATCATCTAATCAACTCGAAGTAATATTACATAAGAGCGTGTTTTGTTTTGACTTAATCTGGACATAACGACTTAATACGTTAAGCCAAAAGAACCTGGTTTATTGTATTATGATTTTTTTTCTTTGCTTCCAAAGGGTAAAACAGTCATTTAAGGACTTGATGGGGAAAAAGGAACAAACACTTACTCTTTTTCATTATTAATTTTATCAAAACGGATTCCTTCGGGATACGTAATCCTATGGGCCTCTGATGATACATTCACAATCCTTCCCTCTTTCTTGCTTTTACGCGCAGTTTTCTTCATATTGTCAAGCAAGAGATGGGTGAGAAGAAAGTGACCTGAAAATTAACGCAAAGGATTCAGAAGCTATAAACGATGAAGTGTATTTAACCCAATTAAAAATATACATACGAAAGAAAAATACCTAGATGATTGGTGGCAAACTGTAGTTCGATTTTATCTTTAGAAAGCATGAATGGAGTCATCATTATACCTGCATTGTTTCTTAACACAAACCAAAGGTACCATTCTATAATCTCATGTACAGAAGAAGAAGAAGAAAGAGGAAAACATGTATGTATAATGAGATATGGATGCTACTTACATCAACAGGTTTAATGATTGACCAGTTGAATTAAAATCAGAGGCGAATTTCCTAACAGATTCCATGGAATTAAGATCCAATTCCATTGCTTTAACTTTGGCTGTTGGGATTTCAGTGACTATTGATTCTTGAACTTGTTTTCCGGCTGCCATATTCCTGACACCCATCACCACATTTGCCCCACGCAGCGCTAGAACACGAGCTGTTTCACGCCCAATTCCACTTGATCCTCCTGATACACGAAGAACAACTCAATGGAATCCAAGATTTCAATATTGGAAAATGATTTGAATTTGAACTCAATAGCAATGTACTTTTATTGAACCATAATAGCAGGGCAAAATGGTCCATAAAGTGTTAAATTCGTGATTCGTACTGTATTCACTTGCATTAAAAATTAAAATGTTGATTGACGAAATTGATAGTACTTTGTGGGTTGTAAAGGAACAGCCTAGCTAGAAACATCTCATTAATAGGGTTTCTTTTTGTACCTTGCGCACAGATAGTCTCGTTGCTTAGAAACGTGTAAATGATGGAAAATAGTCGTATAAAGTAATTAGATTTGAAAAGTGAGAAGCAAAAATGGAACCTGTAACAATGGCGGTGAGACCAGAGGCGTCAATCCCATCGGTAACCTGCTCGGCGGTTGAATACTGCGAGAATCCGGAGGGCCCTGGTCTTCTAAACAGCCACATATCTGATATCTGGGTATTGGGATCAAAATTTTGTGAGGAAAACAAGGGTTTTTATCTTCTTTCTTGTTCTCAGCGTTGGGAATTGTCGAATGTAGTGTGATTGTGACAGGGATTTGATGGGAAAGTAGAAAGGAAGAAAAGGGGAGTGTCATGGAGTCCATGTTGACACATCAACCAGACCCATATCATATTCCACACGCATTAACAACCCAACATCGTGTTCTGTTTGCTCATGTCATGTGTGACCCATAACCTCCATTGTCCTATCCTCATTTTTAACAGAAAAAGCGGATGAATATGTAAGTAAGATGTATACGGTACAAAATTAAATTATTGAGTTACACAAAATATATGCATAAACAATTGTTACTTTTTAAGTAATTTTTATCGTTACTTTTTAAGTAATTTTTTTACAAAAGTTTTACTTATTATTTTGATTTTGATGATGTAGAAATATGATAAATACATATGAAAGGTAAAATCATACAATCTTAACTACAATCAAGAATCATTTTAATTTATTTTTTCTCTTTTGGTGAAGTTTTAAATTGGTTTTGTTCATTTTGTTTTAATTACATTAAATTTATAATACGTTATTAGTACGGAAACTCTATCCAAGTGGAAGTCACATATATCTTACTCAAGAACATATGTTTTCCGTAATAAAAATGTATATTTATTATAAAACAAACATTATATTAAAATTAATTATGAATTAATAAAAATTATTCATTATTAACAACTAAGGATTTTTATTTATTTTACCAATCATTATTTTTATAGTATAATTTTTATTTATAATATAATTTTTATAATATAATTCTTATTAAATGATATATATATATATATATATATATATATATATATATATATATATATATATATATATATATATATATATATATCACGTACATGTTAACTGGAAAACCTAATCATAATCAAATTAATTGATATAATCGAACCATTACTAAAAGATATCGTTCGATTTTTAAATTTTAGTTAATAGAATACATATGGTTCGGTTATGGTTTTCATTATAAACCGAATTGAACCAATAATATTAATAATGTTTTTAGAATAATATAATATTAAATATATAGTATGTAATTATATTGGGAATTGAAAATTTTAAGGGTAATTATCAGTGGTGAATCTAGAACCGAAATTCACGTGATTCCTAATTTTAGTAAAACCGAAAAAACGAAAGAGTAAAAAAAATACTAATGGCAGGGTCGACTTAATGCTTACTAAATCAAAGTTAGGGCTTAGGGCCCCCACATCACGAGGGCCCCACAAACCAAGGAGTCCATGTATTATATCCCTAATCCGGCTAAGACTCTCTAAACGGATAAAAAAACGACGTTTCTTCTTCCACTGCATACAACATACGATTTATGTGTTTGCGCCCTTCGCCTGCTGCCCTGCTCTTGTCGATCTTCTTCTTCTTCTGACTTCTGAGTTCTGATTCACAGCACAAGTTGGTGCCACACAACTGCATATGATACGGTAACACCCCGATTCTCAGGTATTGATTTATGTATGAATCCTTCCTGGTCTTTCGGTCTACTCGACGAGTTAATCGCCCTACTCGTCAAGTAGTGGCGGGATGGTCCACGCGTTTTAGTGACCTACTCGCCGAGTCCAAAAAGGGACTCGATGAGTGGGAGCTGGCAGATGAAACCCAAAATTTCGGGGTATTGCGCCCTATTTAAAGGATCATTGGCCTCCCCCAGCCTCTTGTCTCTCTTTAACCCTAATTCGAGTGTGTGTGTTCCTTTGGAGAGTTTAAGCTTGGAGGAAGGATTTTGGTGAAAGAAACACTTGGGGAAAACAAGCTAGTTGAAGCAAGAGTTCGTGGAATTCAAGATTTGCATCAGTAAGCACTCTCTTGAAGGTACTAGACCGTTTTCCTTGGCTCATTTTCACCTAAACCCTCTTTTGCATGAGTTTTAAGAAAGGTTTTTTGTGTTTAAGCCAAGATCTGAAGTTGTAACTTCAGATCTAGACTCCCCTTGGCCTCTAGATTCATAAAGTCATCAGCTTTGCCTAGTATGAGCCTTTCCTAAAGTGTGTGACTTCATTGCAAGCTTAGTTTTATCATTTTAGGGTCTTAAAAGCCTTGTATGCACGTAAAGTTGCAAGTTTACCTGATAAGCGTACCTAAGGAAGTTGGATCTGTAATTTGGAGCCTTGGCATGGCTTAAAAAGTGTCTGTATGGTTAAAGGACTGAAGGGACTCGGCGAGTCATATGAAGATGCGCATGAACCCGACGAGTTGGATGAACAACTCGGCGAGTCCGATGAAGATTGTCGTAGACTCGACGAGTTGGATGAACAACTCGGTGAGTCAGTTAAGGTTTCCCAGTTGATGGATGTGTGTGAACTTGTCGAGTTGCAAGAAGGAAAACTCAACAAGTGGCCTTAGAGCTTCGATCGCGAGCCTTAGGAACCCGACGAGTCACTTTGTTGACTCAAAGAGTAGCTGAGGATACTCGACGAGTTAGGGTCAACATGGATTGTTGACCTTGACTATTGACTTTGACTTTGACCAGGGGTTGACTAGTTGACTTATGGGGTACCTTGGAAGGTTGGGAACTTACGAGTATGGTTCTATTATGATAATAGGTGGTGGAGTTTGTGGCAGCGATCCGAGAGTTGAAGTTTATCTCCCGAGCCGACTTTTGCGAGGTGTGTTACCTCACTATACTAAGGAGTCTAAGGCACCAAGTCCGGCCCATTGGATATGTTATTCTAGTGTGTTAGTACGATTGAGTGTATAATGGGTTTTCCATGCTAGTGGTTATGTCAGTTAGGTAGATCTGTAGGACTACCTGTGTTGTTATATGTTTATCTGCATGTTCAGTGGTTATGTTGTTATATGTTGATATGTTATGTAAGATGGGTTGAGGTGAGACTGCTTTGTGTGGTAATCCAACAAACCCGGGAGCATTCCAGTTACGGGCTAAGGGAGACCCGTACTGTGGGCTCGATGGCAAGCCAAATGTGAGTCGTGGGCCGAAAGCAATCCAGACTCACACTGCAGGCCCAAGGGGTAATCCAGTCTGTAAAGTTGTGGAACCATTACATATTGTACAGTTTGTTATGTTATGATGTTGCTGACATGGTCACGTGGACTGTATGTGTATTGGTATTTTGGGGGAACTCACTAAGCTTTCGGGCTTACAATTTCAATTTATTGTTTCAGGTACATCAGGGGATCGTGGCAAGGCGAATGCGTGATCGTACCACTCCTCGTTTTAATGATTCTGTTTCTAGGATACTCTGATATAATACGGTTGAAAACATGTTTTGTAATAACCATTGAATATGGACTGCATTTTAAAAGTTTAAAATTGGCTTGATTTTTATGGGTGTTACAAGTTGGTATCAGAGCCTTGGTTTAAGTGAATTGGAGGAGCACTTGTGTGAATCCAGTCTCAAACCAAGGGAAGGAATTTCAAAATGATTTAAAAAAAAGGTTTTCAAAATATCAAAGGAGGATGTAGGGTGTACGATCAGCCGGAGGGTACGATCAGCCGGAGCCAGTAAGTAAACCCCAAAATACCATATAGTAATTGATTATGCGATATGTTAGAACAACATGCTAGTGCTAGGCTAGGGATCTTCAAGAATTGCATGATAGACTTGCTGGATTACATGATACATGCTAGCATGGGGTTTCAGTTATATGAGATTGACATCATTACTGTAGTTGTCTGGTATATGCCTCATGGTTGTACATAATCAAGATCTTATAGCCTATAAATGTTTAATTCGACCTTAGGGTAGGATCGGATATTCGAAAGTCTATAGGGTCCAACGTTATGTATGGCTAGCATACACTAGTGCTGCAGGGTTGATGGAAGTTTCATGGATGAGTGTTGGGCGCTAGTTATGTTTATGTATATTGTTAGGGTATTGTGGTGATACTTAAGACAAATATGGGTAGGTGTGGAAGGTAGTATGGGCCCGTACTACTGAAAGCACAAGACCCATATGCGTTGCAAGGAAGTCACAACCCCTAGGGTTTAGTCGGGAATTGGTTCCCCATGGTTGCGCGAATCATTTGATGTTTGTTGGTGTGTTTTTAGTATAGTGGTGATGAGACATTTGTTGGGTTTTGAGCATTCTAACACTCCTAAGTGTACATGCAACCCTAAATACCTTGGATCTATGTTTTCTCTATTATACATGCAAATAAGAACATCCAAGGTATTATCCTAATCTATCATACAAAACATGAATATAACAAGATAGAATACATACCTCTTTGATGTAGAAGGTCTTCATGAAGCTTGAGTGCCTAGCCCCAATAGTGTGGAAGCCTCAAATGGAATCACAATCATCAAAACACTTAGAATAACTTGAGAGAGTCCTACACTTCATGAAATCGGCTAGCCCTTTGTTACACTCTCTAGTGGCCGATTTTTTGTCAAGAATAATATCATTATATAGTGTTACAATTAGGGTAAATCCTTAATTGTCATGGCTTTCCATTTCCTTGGATCCATGGGTTCAAATACACCATGGAGCATCCATGGACCATCCTATGGGTTTTAGCCCAACTTGATTATCCATGGAGCATTAGCCCACTATATAAGTATGGATGATTTACACAATCAACCCATATATTTAATTAGTCTTCTTTTGATCACTTAATTAATCCTAGATTAATTCTTGATCAATACTAATTAAATAATCTTATTATTCTTATTATTAATATACTAGAACTTATAATATATTAATAACCATAAGTGTCTTATTTCTCTCATTATAGTCTATCCAAGTGCATGATGGTATGCAACCCAAATGGACCATGCCGGGTCGGGTCAAGTCTTACCAATTATAGTTATGGACTTAGACATTAATCCAACAGTCTCCCACTTGGATAAGTCTAAAACTATTATTGCGTATGACTTCAGGAACCAACTGGCAATCGTAGCTCTCAAAAGCTTCTGTCGAACTCTGACCTTGTAGATGAACTCTGACCTTGTCAATGACTTGTCCATTAGATAAGGGATCATATAATCCTCTGTTCTCATGATATCAGCCGGACAAATACATGGAACAACGTCGTACTTATTGTCCAGCAGTTTGTTTCCCGATTTTCGATTTGTTTGACAAAGAACTTAATCGAACACATCAATTCAGTTCTGACCGGCCGGTACATAGGTCACAACAAAATCATCGAGGGGCCCAGATATCGCTTCTATTTCTAGAAGGAACAGATAAACTTCGACTCATATGCTTGTTCTACTACTTGT